ACTCGTCGGGGACTCGGGGGTTTGGTCTCCCCAGGACTGTGCGGCGGCGCCGGGTGTTTGAGCCATAAGGGGGTGGGGGGGGCGGTCCCAGCACCGAACCTTCTGCGCCGCTGGCGGTGGTGCGTCCTTCGCGCAGGGGGGACTCGGGCTTCCCCCCGAGACTCAGGGGAAAGAGGGAGCCGTTCGGGCTCGTAAATCAGCTGAAGCTGTCGGAAGGCGGGAGGGCACCAGGAGGAGGGGAGCTCAGGTACGTCAGCCTCGTGGCAGTGGCCACAAATGCGTTTAATTTATAGATCCCTGTATATAGTTGTTGACATAGGCACCAGAAGTTGTAATTACATCGTGTTATATATATTCTCCCACCGCCTGGGTGGCTGATGGGGCCGGGCCAGGGCTATTCGCTGGGCCCCAAAGTGCAGCCGGCCACAGGGCACAAACTGTTTTTTCCATCATCCATTCTTTCCCCTATTTCCCCTCCTACTTCAGAAATAGGTTTATGACATAAAAAGCGTATAATCACTCTTGGACTTGTTGAAAGGACCGTGGAAACCCTTACCGTGGTCGGCAAACTGCGGCTCTCGAGCCACATGCGGCTCTTTGGCCCCTTGAGTGTGGCTCTTCCTAAGCCTTAGGAGTACCCTAATTAAGTTAATAACAATGTACCTACCTATATAGTTTAAGTTTAAAAAATTTGGCTCTCAAAAGAAATTTCAATCGTTGTACTGTGGATATTTGGCTCTGTTGACTAATGAGTTTGCCGACCACTGACCCAGATCAACAGAGGTGTAGAAGGTGAGGGGAATGTAAAATACGTAAGGAGAGCCCACCCTAGTGCCCCCACCCAGGAGGTTTGCTGTGGCACCCTAAGGGTCTGGATATGGGCCAGGAAGGAAGGAAGGGAAAGAGCCATGCCTGTGTGCTTCAGTCTTTGGCCTCCTCACAGTTGTTTAGGAAGAGCAAGCTTTGTAAGTAGAGTGACTCGCACGTGTTTGTTCTATCCCCGCTCCCCAAAATCTTGTCTTGGTCCAGTAAGCATCCCAGCCTTCCCTCTTTCCTGAGCTTGTCGTGGCAATTTAGCCCAGCGATCGGGATGGAATTTGTTGTGAAATCGGAGCTTTGAACACATCCTCTGGTTTAAAAGACGGGCTTTAAAGCTCAGGACTGTGCGTTGATGGCCAGTTAATAGACGAGTGGTGGCGGCAAGGTTCAGTGGGCTTGTCGTAAAGAACGCCTGTGCCTTTACTGAGAGGAGAAACATCAAGGGGAATGACACTTGCAGAGCTCTGGGGCAGCAAGAATTATACATCCTCAATTAGGATTCCATTTCCTCCTGCCACTTGCTTTTAGGCAATTGAGTGTGGGTATGACAAGATACCAAACCCCTTAATGTTTCCTTTTTGGGAAATGAGGCACCTTTAAAAAAAAAAAAGGACAAATTTCGCCACCTGAGCCCAGAAACAGTTTGTCTCTCCAGTTTTCTGGCCTACACTCTAGTTAGCTCTGATCCAAGGAGGCACAGCCTTGCTTTAAGCCATGTCCTGTTGTGGGCAAGAAAACTGCCGCTGAGCTGTCATAGCCTGGGGGCAGGCTGGTCGCACCCCCACGGTGTCCCGCTGGGGAGATTTCTAAGCAGCTGACTTGACTTTGGTCATTAGAAAGCCTCTGAGGCCTTTTAAAATTTTGGTGGGGACCCATGGGGGAGAAACATAAAATGCCACTTTATAACTTCAATAATAGCCTGTACTTTATATTTATTGTGTGAATTTTTAGTCCTATATTTTAATAATTTATAAATGGATCTCTTATTCCAAGGATTCTTTGAACTTGCAGGAGAACATCTGGGAGTCCAACCCCCTGTCCCCATCCTGACCCCTGCATTCGGGACTGTTGGATCCACTCTGGGACGGATCACTCCTAGGCCCAACTGCTGGCCTCCTGACTCTAACGCCTTCACTGGAACTGGGACATTCGTTCCAGCCCTAGCTGTGAACATGACCAGAGACATTATTTATAACTCAGCCATTTAAGATATACCTGTACTCAAAAAAGTCTTGTATATTTTTTAAAAGTTTTATTTTTCAGGTGAACAAAAATACATTCTAAGAACTCTACGTAAGCCTGTGTAAGTTGTTTCTGTTTTCGAATTTCTTGGGGGAAGGAGTAGAAGTTGGAAGAGGAAATGGTCTGAGATGTGGTGGATGGCTGATGGTAAATAGCTGTCGGAGGAAAAAACAATTGCCCTAATGTTCTCTGTGCCCTATGGCTTGACTGAATTGATTAGTCAAGGGTGGCAAGATCCATCTTAGTCAGGAAGCAATGACGGGGTTGGCAGAACAGTGATATCCAGCTTTAAAAGACTGAAGAAAAAAAAAGTTCTGCTTTTATAGGACTCTGAACAGATGCCTAGCTGAAGAAGCTAAGGGATCAGCCACCATGCATATTAAGAATTATTGCAAATATTGAGCTGGCTGAGAGCTGAGGTGAGGATAAGCCGCCTGATAGCATCACTCTTCTCAGCTTTAAACAAACCATTGGCCCCTAGATAGTGCAGGAAATGCTAACACTGGGAAAGACACACTGAGGAGGCTGCAGTGGTTGGTCAGAGCTTTGTCTAAATGGAGGAGGCGAGAGAGCCAGATGCTGAGAGAACTTTAGATTGCTTCAAAGGTGAGGCTTTTCCTCCCCCCAAAGCAAACAATAAAAGACATGTGGGTGAGAAGCACAAAACTAAGGGATTAGTTATGCCGCAAAATACATGGCAAGCAATTGAGCTCAGCTCATTATTAGACGGCGCTGCCCAGTACACAACCAAAAGCCAGTGTTGGTGGGGCCCCCTGGGGCCTGCACTTCTACAGAGCTGTTGGGGGGTGGCTGCTGCTCTTTTACATCACCTTGTAGTCTGCAGGGGAGCGTGGAAAAAGTCCGCCCTGCTTTTATTTCCCTCTTCAGCCTACACAATGGCTTTCTGTGCGAGGGCTTGGTAAGGCAGAGCCGAAGGGGAGGGAGAGGGTTTTGTGGTTCTAGTCAGGCTCCCCTTCCCGTGGATGGTGACATATGGCTTTTGCTGCTGCTCCCGGCTTCACACGGTGGGCCATGCAGCAGTGTGTGTGTGGCAGGGGCCTGCTGGCTGATGAGAAGGGCGCTGTTCCACCAGAACAGGGCCCGTTGGTGGGGGGTAGTGGTCTGAAGAGGTTTATTTTCAAGAGTGAGAAATTACCTGCAACATTGTCCAACAGCTTTTGAGCCAGAGAGATTTGTGCAAAGGCAGTTACTTTTCCTTCAACGGCTTTGTACCTGCACCACTAGGATAATTTCTCGATGTTTGCTTATATTAGAAGTTACGGCCGTGCGCTTATTCTGACAGCCCGAGTTGGAAGGAAGAGACAGATAATCCTCTTTTGAAAGTGAGGTTTGGGAGGGTGAAGGGCCAGGAGTTTGTGTGGGTATCATTTCTCTCCCCGATGGATGCTGAGGTACAAAACGTGCTTCTCTGAAATTTTAAGCATAAGAAATGTTTTTCTTCCTAAGCTCTCGATTTCTGCACAGTATGAGACCATTTTCTGTCTACCTTGTTTTTCAGTTTTCACTAGGGAATTCTAAGATGCTGTGTTCTTTAGTTGAGTATTTATATCCTGTTTTGAAATGCTGAGTGGAGAGCATCTACTTGTTTCTACATGTTTCTTCAAGGGGAACTGAAAGGTCAGCTCCTAGGCTTTAGGGCTACCACAGCTATTTAAAAGGGGTAATAATTGTCCTCCCCTTCCTGTTTGCAGAGAATGGAGGTATTTCTGGAATTGGAATTGCATTAACAAAAGGGTTACAGCTGTAGGGGCTTTTGTGTGTGTGTGTGTGTGTGTGTGTGTGTGTGTGTGTGTGTGTGTGTTTTGGTCTCTCTGGGCTGAGAGAGGGACTTTGCTCATTTCTCAGGACCAGCACGAAGCTCAGCACCTGGCACAGTAGTAGGTGCTCCCCTGGTTAATCACTGTGTTGGATAGCCTTGTTCCTTGTGTCACTGTGGTGTCGCTGTCATAATTCATTGTGGACCCACATCCACAGCCCATAATCTGCTTCAAGGGAGTGGACTGATTGCCGAAGAGAACCCCTGCCAATCACAGCGGCACTGGCCTTGCTAGCCGCTGTTTTCTTCATTTGCAAGTTGGGGGACTTGGGCTGGGCCTGCGTGTTCTCTCCAGGCTCCAGAAGTCCTGGAAGCTGTATTCCACGAGGTCCGTAATGGAGGCAACACAGAATGTGTGACCCGTTCATTGTCTCCTCCGTTCTGACCCTTTATGCCTGGTGCTGAGCTATAAAAATACCTGCCCCATCAACAGTTTTTTGGTCACATCTGTTTTACTTGCTGACATAGCCTGTGGGTTTCTGCTGCCAGAAAACCTATGTTACGCTCTTTGTTCCCTCCAGTATCTAATTTTAAGAATACAAAAACAAAACCTTTTTTTTTCCACACAGCCAGACTCTACCAGGCTTTCCATCCTAAGTACAGAAACCGCTATGCTCCCAGGATGCACGGAGCCACCTGGTCAGTAAGGAGCACAGTTCCCGTGTGCTACTCTGAACCTTCATTAAGCTACTGTTAAGGGGCCAGAAAATTACCGCACAGTTCTCACCCCAAGACATGTACAGCCGTGCCAACAAGAATCTACCCTTGTTATTGCCCTGTTTTCTTAACTTCAGTAATCTGTTTTTGCTAATAGCTTATCAGTTAAACAGCAACAAGATTCTAACTTAATTTAGATTGTTTTCCATAAACCACTACCATTAATTCAAGAACTGTTTATTTAGTGCCTACAGTATGACAAGTAAGCCTCAAAAGTCCCATAACCAACTTGTCCAAAAAAGCAATTATGTTGATTACCAAGGATTTATTTTTAAATATACCTCTCTCTGCTGCCTCCGTAGTATCCTGAGTCATGAGTTGAGTCTCCCCCCACTGTGTTCTGGAGGCCACTTACCCCTCAGCTCCCTGCTGGTCAGTCTGGGCAATGTGTGTCACACAGCCAGTCCCTGATCCACTGACAGCTCACAGTATCGTGAGGACCTGGGTGGGAGGCGCGTGCTCTTAGGAGGGACTCCTGAATTGGAAACTTGAGGACTCAATAATGGCATTGGTTATGGCCCTTGAGAGCAAATGAAGGCGATAGATGCGACAGGGCTTGGAGATCTTGGGAATAAAAGTACAGTGTACACACATGAGGTCATATATTTTCAAGGGAATGTCTGTCCCTTTGGGGAAAATGGATGCATGGGAAGAAATGTGAAGGGACAGGTAGCAAACACCACACCCGTGCCCAGACCATCAGCATGAGCATCCCTGGGAAATGCCATGTCTTGGGCCCCATCTCAGACCAACTGAATGAGAAATCCAGGAATGGAGCCCAGCATTGTGTTTTAACTAGCCTTCCAAGTGATTCTGATGCATACTAAAATTGAGAACCACTGGTCCAGCCTTTCCCTCTGAACCTGTAACAGGTGAGGGTATTCCTGTTATTTATTTTGATTTCAGAGAGAGAAAGGGAGAGAGAGAGAGAAACATCAATGTGAGAAAAACATCAACCAGCTGCCTCCTGCACATGCCCTGACTGGGACTCGAACCCACCACCTCTTGGTGTACGGGATGATGCCCAACCAACGGAGCCACACCGGCCAGGGCTGAGGGTATTTCTGTTTTGACAGATGATTATCAAGGGGGCTTTTGATCTTCTTGGTTGAAGCCAGCTGCCCTGCTAGGGGGAAGGGAAATGCTATGTCCCCAGAGTTTGTGCGAAAACAGGAAAAGCCTACAGTGTTGAATATTTGTGACAGTTACAGTGGAACTTGCCCTGGAGAGCAGTCCTCTCTCCCCTTCCTTCAAAGGTACGGATGTGTTTGCCTCACCTCCTCCCTGAGCCTGCTGCTCCTCGAGCCAGTCCTTAAAAGGAGCAGTGGGTGCCACATTGGTTCCTTCTGGTGCCAGGTCTGCGCAATTTCACTTCCCTGGCGTCAAGTGGATGCTTAATGAGAGGCTGTGACGCGGGCCAGCAGCCTTGTTGAGAAAAAGCAGCCTCAGTCTGGGCCTTATGCTGGCTCCTCTCATTGCCTTTCCCAGCCTTGAGTTCTCCCCCTCGGTGAGGTTGTGGTTACCCAGTGTCAGCCCTTCCTCATAAGCCCCGATAACCCTTGCTCAGCAAGCCGCTTGCCGGGGTCTGTGGATGCTGATAAATGACTCAAGAGGCAGAAGTGAAGTGGTTGGTGTCTTTACTTTCCCCTATGCCCTTGATCCCCTCTGATTAGTCCCCAAAATAAGAAGGTATGGTGGGTTTTTACAGTTTCCTTTGTTCTTCTGGGGAGCTAGTACCATCTTTACCTGTTATTCCAGTCCCTGAGGCCAGGGTTGGGATTGGAGTTGACTGGTGGTCAAACCTTCCCAACTTGTGCCTTGTTGGGTAGCTGGGGAGCCCTGCTTCCAGGGATCCCCAATTACCTATCCCTTGACCATAAGAAAATATATTCATGCTGCTCCTTTGGGTGACAAAACTTAACACTGGGAGGCATTGAGCAAACTCAACAAGTTGAGTTGGCTTGTGGGGGAAATACCAGTGGGAGTTCATGAGATTCCTAATGATGTGAACAGAGGAAAAGAGAAACCGCTCTGAACTGTGGGAGCCAATGTGCAAAGGCAGGCAGAAGCGCTTAGCACAGCGGTTCTCAACCTGTGGGTCGAGACCCCTTTGGGGGTCGAACGACCCTTTCACAGGGGTCGCCTAAGACCATCAGAAAACACATATATAATTACATATTGTTTTTGTGATTAATCACTATGCTTTAATTATGTTCAATTTGTACCAATGAAAATACATCCTGCATATCAGATATTTACATTACAATTCATAACAGTAGCAAAATTACAATTATGAAGTAGCAACGAAAATAATTTTATGGTTGGGGTCACCACAACATGAGGAACTGTATTAAAGGGTCGCGGCATTAGGAAGATTGAGAACCACTGGCCTAGCACATCCTCGGATCCCACTGGTGGGTGGGGACAAAGAACCCTCCCTGTAAGAGAAGGGCCACTTCCTGAGGCTTTGACTCAGCTAGACTTCCCGGGATGAACGCTGG